CCCCCCCCCCCCCCCCCCCCCCCCACACACACACACAGGCACACTCATTGGACCACCCCAAGGCCAACCACTTAAACAGCCCTCCCCCAAGACCCACTACCAGCATCCTACAACCATCGACTAAGCCCCTTGGGTGGTGCGCAGGCAGTGTCTGTAATAATTACCATGTGTCAGCCCAAAGGGAGCGGTCTAAAGCACCGGTTGGAAATGCGCATTGTGGTATGAGGTTGCAGGTTCAAAACTCAATTGCAACCTTGCACATGGACACGGGCAGGGCGTTAGATTGACGCACGGCTGGACATACACTCCCTTGGGCTGACGCATGGTACTATTACAGACACTGCCTGCGCACCACCCAAGGGCTGTTTCATGGTGTTGTATGTTGGTTGTGGGTTTCACATGGGTTGCTTCGGGGTGTTGGTCTCGGGTGTTCTGTTGATCTCCCCAGTCTGGCATATCACACGTTTGTGCCATTTCCACTAGTCGTTCACATGGTAGAGTCATACGATTACATGTTTCAAGGTCACGGGTTCGAGCTTGGTTCGGACCTTGGGGCGGGTCCTTGCCCAGCTTACCCCGTTCTCTCTTCGATATACACACGTGATGCTGGCTATACATCTCGATGCATTGATTCACAGAGCACACACAGCCTTTGGGCATATACATAGCTTGCGACCTATACATGGCCTACAGGCTACATACACAAGTTTCCACACATAGTGCTGTCTGTACATCTTCATACATAGATGCACGAAGCATACACAGCCTTTGGGTATACACATACATTGCGAACTACACAACTATCAGACTGGAGTGGTCTAGTCACTGGGTGGGGTCTAGTATCTGTGGTAGGGATAGGTATGGGCCACCTGAGTTCCTACAGATATTCGGGCAGAACTGTCTAGTGGCTATATATAAGGCTTAGACCCTGGGGTTAGGGTAGGGGTATAAGTCGCTCAGGCCAGTCCGAGTTCCGCCTGGCCTTGGGTAAGCTAGGGGAAGGACAGTAAGACTGCTTCAATGGGTGCTACCCTGTCTGAAACCTAGGGCCCAGAGTCTCTTGGGGCCTGTAGAAGATTGTCTGGGCCTGGCAACCGAAGTTCCCATTCGACAAGGCTCGTCCGATTCCGCTTCCACCAGGGCTGGGCTGGGCAACCTATCAGCCCTGGTGCCTATCACTGCTGTTCGGTCCAAGTTACCTGCCCATTGGTAGGGTAATGGTCCTGAGTGCTGGTCACACTGAGGTAGGATAGTGGGATAGGGGGTGCGCTAGGAGTATTGACGTGAGGATGGGATGGGAGGTGATCTCATATTCCAGGACACCCACGGCCTACTGCTCCAGGTGATCACTGTGTACTCAGTAACTGGCCTCTACAACACCATGGACTTAAAAAAAAAAAGAAAAAAAAAGGGAGCGGTCTGTGTGAACGGCAGTCCATGCATGCAAGGCTGCAATTGAGTTTTGAACCCGCACCTTATACCACATTGCACATTTTCAACCGGTGCTCCACCCACTGAGCTACCGGCCATCCACAACATAAGGCCCATGTATTATATTCAAATTTCAAGATTGGTCGAAACAGGTTTGTTAACTTTGTTTCACATTATGGTCATTTTTTTTTTCCAAAGAAATGCCCTTTTGAACACACCTAGGCGGCATACAAAGTCCCAATGTTGTATTGGAGTCAGTGGCAGACCAAAAGTGTTGTTTTATCCAAATATAATGGCCCTGCAATGGCAGATTACACACAGGTGCCTACCTACCTACTACGGCTGGCTGGTGGACCACTCACACCTACAAAAGAAAGGTATAGGTATCTTGGTTCACTGGTGCAAGAGCTTCCTTTCAAGCTTCCCACACACAGACAGAAAGATCAGAGAGACAATAGAGCATCTGTCCCTTTCCCACCCTGGGGCAGTGCTTGCTTTTCTTTGTTGTTTTTAAGGGCGGCAGTCTTGAGATATATCCACAGTTACGGACTGTCCGGGATATTAAGAGGGCAATTACGTCTTTCTGCACAGACTGGCTAGGGGGACTGCGGGGGGGTTGGATAGCACGAGTGGAGTGGGGGGGGACCAGACTGTTTCGATAAGTCAGGGCCTCCCCAGAGATTACAATCTGGCATTTAACGATTGGACTACCATTGAGCCCTCCTTCCCGATGAGAACCCCGTCTGATTTCCTGGACCCATTTCCGCCCCACCCCCTTTCTCTGACTGTAATTCCAAACGGATCCCAAACTGACCAAGGTGTTACCCTCCGGTGTCCCCCGGGTTGGGACACTAGCAACACGCCGCTAAAAACACGGAGGACGTGAAGGACATGAAGGATCAGGGCGTGAGTTACAAGTGTCACACTGCGGCTTCAGCCCTCAGAAAGAACGAGGGGGGCTAGGTGGTGCCCTGCAGCAGGGCTGAAGAGACCCCCCCTCTCTCAATGTCACTCTCAATATCACCTGGTCTCCAATGTGATCAATGCTGGCAGATGGATACAGGCTCAAGTCCATCGCTCTGTATATGTTCCTCAATATGTTTTCGAATGGGACGGGACTGGGGCTGGTGGAGGGAGGGAGGAACTAGCGTGTAGCAGCAGGTATCTGGCACTGGGTCCAGGGTGAAGAGGTTCCCCCTCCTTCCAATATTCTGCTCAGTCAATCCCCTGGATCCCAGGGTAATCAATGCTGGCAGGAATCTCCCACAATTGTCTTTTGTCTGATATTCTCCAAATTCAGACTGTATATGGGACGCTGGACCCGTTTTCCAGCAGGTGATGCTCCCCACCAATAGATGGAGCCTCCCCCCAGGTGCTAGTGGTGTCTGCTCTTATCAGCACCACTAACACTGGCAGGGGCGTGTAAAAAAAAATAATAATAAAAAAAAAGAGATATATCCACAGTAGTAGACCACGGATACGGGATGGCAGATCCCGCATCCGTGGAGAAGAAGGGATGAGGATGAAGGTGGAGATGGAGATGGAGATGGAGAATCGGAGATGGAGATGGAGATGGAGATGGAGATGAAGATGAAGATGAAGGGGAGAAGGACAGCACCACTAGGACTCGATACCACACCCGACTCCAAAACTGCGAAGTGAAGAACGAATCAGAATACATACTGCAGCTGGGGTATACCGCCAGCGGACTGACTGGACTGAACTAGACTGGTACCAACGGCGGTACCGGACTCTATGAACAAGACACAGCCGGTGAGCACACGGCCAGTGAGAGAGATCAGGCCGCCTACGACCGTCTGGTCCCCACACAAGCCGAACCTGCAGAAGGCCAAACAGCTCCGGCTATAGGCCGGGATAAATAGAGTCCCGCTGCAGGGATCCTCCACATATTTTCTATCACACATGTCCCTAGTGCATGGGCCCGCATTTGCATGGGCAGTCTAGGGACTATTCCACGTGAAGTCCTTTATCGGAACTCAGAAACGGAAAGGTGAGACTCGATACTCAAATCCGAAATTAAGTTCGAAATTCGTAATCCGAAACTCAAAACGCAAATCCGAAAATCAAACTTTGAAATTCGTGGGAAATTTCGGAACTTCGAAATTCATCACCGGGCCTACCTTCACCGGGGGCCAAGTCCCACTAGCAGCGTTGAGATACCTCAACGCCTGAATCTGGACGCTTTTGCGGAGATGTGCAGAAAGGGTGTGGAGTTTCCTGAACTGCACGTCTCCACAAACACGTCCAGATTCAGGCGTTGAGGTAGCTCAAAGCTGCTAGTGGGACATGGCCACGGGCCTACCTTCACCGGGCGTACCTTCTTCCCTCAAATACAGCTATAATGACCGCCGTACGTTGTATTCGGGGGAAGAAGGTATCTCAGTTGGTACACACATGAACAGTTGTTGAAACGCAGACCTGAGTTCGAATCCAGATGAGGGAACTCCTGAATCATCGAATCCAGATGATGGAACTCCTGAATTTCCTGGGCCACATCCGTTGGGCAAAACGCGCGCTCGCTGTGGCGCGCCTGCGCCAGTCATCAACTGGAGCGACAGCCATGCCACCGTTAGAGCTACTCTCATGTCGCGCTACGGCAGCAGCAGGCGAGTTCATGCCTATGGCCACATCAAATCTTCGACGCTATTGGGGATGGAGGAAGGGATTGGGAGATCAAACAATCATGGAAGAGGGGAACGTTGTTGGGATCGGTATCGGCGAAGAGGGGGAAGCTTCTGATCGGGAGGAGGACGGTGCTGGAAGAGGGTTGGGATTGGGGTCTGCGAAGGGAAACAGCAGGATCGGAAAACGGGGTTCAGAAGAGAGGACTGACGCCACAATGAGCAGGGAGGGAGGGAGGGGGAGGAGAACGTCGTTCGGCTGCAGAGAGGGGGGAAGATGGTTGGATCAGAACCAGGCAACATAGAGACAGGCGCTGTTCGTTTCTCTCGCTGATGGACAGATCGCACGTGTGCGTGCGCGAAAGAAAGGAGGGAAGCACACACACACACAGAGAGAGAGAGAGAGAGAGAGAGAGAGAGAGAGGCAGGCCAAGAGGGGAGGCAGAGAGAGAGAGAGAGGCAGGCCAAGAGGGGAGGCACAGAGAGAGAGAGAGAGAGAGAGAGAGAGAGAGAGAGAGAGAGAGAGAGAGAGAGAGAGAGAGAGGAAAGCAGGCATGGGCAGAGTCAAGTTCGCCTGCTTGCATGACGGAAGAGAGAGACATATCTATATGTCATTTATGATGTGTGTGTGACCGAGAGAGAGAAAACAAGTACAGGGAAACGGAGATGGAGGGTGGAGGGGGAGAAGGAGAGGGGGAGAGCAAGACAGAGATGAGGGTATGGGGGAGACACAGACAGACAAACAGAAAGACAGACAGATAGAATGACAGACATACAGGCAGACAGAGAGACAGAAATGGACAGAAACACAGACAGACACATCATTTGCCATTGCAGAGACGAGAGTTACACCACCAAAAAAAAAAAACGAAGAAAGTGCTCAGACATCAAAATGCCCGCCAAGGGGACTGACTTTCGAAATGGATTCAGACGAGGGGAGTGCCTCGGCGCACCAACCCGCCAAAAAAGTGCAAAATGAGAATGTATCTCCCGCTAGAACGTGAAAAGATACACCCGTCATTTGCGTTTTTTTTTTGTCTTTTTCACATTTGGTGAGTGGTGCGGCGAAGCCCATAGTCATTGCTACCGTTGTCGTTATAATCATCATCATGATGTACACACGCCCCCCAGAATAGACGGGCCACTCGTGTGTGTTTCGTGGGTTTCATTAAAAAAAAAAAAAAAAAAAAAAAAAAACAGAACCCATACAGTAAATAGTAAACACCCTCTCTTGTCCTCTTCAAGTTTCCTGTCATGGTCCTCTTTTTTTTTCCGTCTGTATGTTCCCCCTCCTCCTCCTCCGGCTCCTTGTCGTGCTCCTCTTTTCTTTCTTCTTTCTTCTTTCTTTCTTTCTTTCTTCTTTTTCTTTTTTACTTTGGCTTGCTACCCGCTGTCCCCTAGCCGGTATCGCCCACCTGCAGGTCGGGAGCAGCCCCCGCATGTTCTCTCATGAACACGGTTCTGGCTGCTACGGGGTTCCCCGTATGCCTACAATTAGGAGTAGTGGTAGGTAGGTAGTGTGAGGTGAAATTGAGAGAAGAATGTAGCTTTTTGAAAAAAAAAAAAAAAAAAAAAAAAAATCGAATTATATATTTTGTGGGCGTATTTGTCCAGACTACTACCGTACTACCGTAGTCCGAGCCAGGAAGGAGGATGCAGAGGCTAACGCGGGAATGCGCCGACTGGGAGAAAATCGGTCGTCTCTCTTTTTCTACAACACAGCAGTAATGCGGTGGTAACGAGTCCTCCTCCTCCTCCTCCTCCTCCTCCTCCTCGTCGTCGTCGTCGTCTGAGGAGGAGGAGGAGGAGGAGGAGGAGGTGTGTGAATGACGAGTCCGTCACCGGGGGGGAGACTAATGGGTATGTGACACGTGGCAGAGGACGCGAGGGCAGGGGAGGAGGGGGCACTCATCTTGGAGGACTGGGAATTTAGTCGGACAAGGAGCAGGAGGAGATGCTCCCGCTTCTCCTCCTGCTCCTTATCCGACTAAATTCCCACTCCTCCAAGATGAGTGCCCCTCCCCTGCCCTCGCGTCCTCTGACACGTGTCACATCCGGGGGAGCATTAAAAAAAAAAAAAAAGAAGAAGAAGAAGAAGAAGAAGAAGAGGGGGAGCATTAGGAGAAGAGGATGGAGACGTACTGCACGGTGTCAGAATGACGCGGCAGGAGTTTCCAGAGGTGTACTACTGAAGGGAAAGTTGGGAAACCTTCGGCGACGCAAGAGGAGAGCTCGAGCTCATCTTCCGATACTCTTAGGGAACTGACGGCGTGAGCACGCCATAGCTCAGGCTATGGTGTTTTTTTTTTTCCTCTGCTCGTTATGATCGTCTATCTCTTTTGGAAGAGTTGATGCTTCAGAGACTCGCATACAGGACTTTGCTGGTCGGCGGCTCCTGGTTTGCAACCTGTGTATTTGTGTGGCGTTAAGCTGATATCGTTAAGCTGATGTCAGCGTCTGTGTTTGCTGACATCGGCCCTCCTCTCGCTCTCCCAACCAATCAGGAGAAGGCGAGACGATGCAGACGTACGGCAAGCCGTCAGAATGGAGCGGCGCGGAGGGGAGCACAGGGAGTTCAGAGGCGTACCGTACGGCAGCGGCAAACCTTCGATGACGCAAGAGGGGATCGACGCAGTGCTCGAATACTACTGGAGATCGTCGATGTAGAGATCGAGTTTTACTGCAGATCGACGATGTAGCGATCGAATGTTACATGAGATCGACGATGTAGTGATCGTAGTAGTAGTAGTAGTAGTAGTAGTAGTAGTAGTAGTAGTAGGAGGAGGAGGAGGAGGAGGGGGAGGAGGAGGAGGGAAAGGAGGGGGAGGAGGGCGAGGAAGAGGAGGGAAAGGAGGGGGAGGAGGGCGAGGAAGAGGAGGGAAAGGAGGGGGAGGAGGGCGAGGAAGAGGAGGGAAAGGAGGGGGAGGAGGCCGAGGAAGAGGAGGGAAAGGAGGGGGAGAACACGTCAGTAGGAATGAATGAGGGGGTGGCTGGCCGCGGGGAAGGATAATTAGTCAACCTCGTTGACAGGTGTAAGGGAGCTGACGTGGAGATATGGCGCCATGCACCATGCAATTACAGTACGTAAGTAATTGGGAGGAGGTGGGAGGAGGTGGGAGGAGGTGGGAGGAGGTGGGAGGAGGAAGGAAACAGGAGAAAAATTGCGTTTTGATACAAGGGGGAAGAAGAAAAAAAGAGAGAGAAGAAGAAGAAACGGATGACGAAGAAGAGCCAGCTCGCGTCTCATTAGCGGAAATTTTCTTCAGACTGTGAGATCAGCTGATAGGAAAAATCGCATTTTGGGAACCACTTCATTTTTTTAAAGAATGATTCTGTCCAGCAAGATTGTTTCAGGATATAAATTGTTTCAGCCCGTCAGGATATAAAGTATGTTTCTGTACAGTGAATGCCATCCCTGTGTTTAGAGCATGAAATTATCTTTACAACTCAACGTCACACAAACCCAGAAAAACGGATCAGCATCTCTCTCCCCTCCTGTTACACTCACTCGGCACTTTCATGTGTCATGAAGATCGCAATAATCTGCGAAGACGATACAAGGTAATTGACTGAGGGACCGACAAAATGTTGTGTGTATGTGTGTGTGTGTGTGTGTGTGTGTGTGTGTGTGTGTGTGTGCCTGTGTTTGTGTGTGTATGTCTGTGTTTCTCTGTGTGTGTGTGTATGAGAGAGAGAGAGAGAGAGGAGCAAAACTTACGAGGGGGGCGGTGGGGGGAGAAGAAATGACGAGTCGAGCGATGAACGGATGCCACTGTCGAACGCACGAACTGACATGTTCCATTTTTGGCCACGTGGAGCTACCTCGGCACGACACGTGTCAATCGTTACATTATTAGCACTGCTACTCTCACTGGCGCTGCCAGAGCACTCTGTACTTCGTCCCGCACTTGCTTCAGAAACCTGATTGCCGTCGCGGAACCATGTTCGGGACTGATTCGGACAAGATTCCGGACCAGGTTCAGAAACATGATCTTGGGCATCGTACGGCAACCGCAGCTGCGGCTTCCCCTCAGCCGACGGCTCAGATCGTGCTGCAGCCTCTGGGTGATTGCCATCTGGCTTATCGGCAGCAGCCTCGGGTTGGAATCCAGCCATCCCCTTGCAAGCTACTGCTTGCCACAGAATGGTTCGTTGACGGTCAAAGCCTGAGAGACCCAGATGGGACTTGAGCTTGAAGAACGTGACTGGCACGAAAAACGTGATGGGACCCAGATGGGACAAGGCTGAGAGACCCAGATGGGACAAGCCTGAGAGACCCAGATGGGACAAAAAGCGTGACTGGAACGAAAAACGTGATGGCTTGGGGAAAGGATAGTGAAGAGGGCGATCATAGCTTCGTGTTCGTTGCCCTCCTCCTCTCATTCCCGCCCTGGACTCCACTCTGCTCCTCCATTTCACTACGTGCTCCAGATACGAGGCCGTCGCGCTGTTGGCTCGAAGCGGTGCCAGACGCGCTACTCCTAGAGCTTTCATCATACATTGAGCCACAGAGACACAGAGAGAGAGAGAGAGAGAGAGAGAGAGAGAGAGAGAGAGAGAGAGAGAGAGACTCTATTTTGTTGACCTGAGTTCGAAGCTAGTGTAGACGCTTCGGTAATGCCTGCGCATTACATTTTCGCGCTCATGCTATGCTACCTTCTTCCCCCGAATACAACGTACGGTGATTATAGCTGTATTTGGAGAATCTTTTTTTTTAGTCTAAATAATACAGCTATAAGGACCGTTCGTTGTCCAACGGCCAAACTGCGTTCCTGCTACTGGCGCGGTGGATAGCCTTGTTCCAATAGGTGGTCCCGCCGCCGGTACCAGTACGGTAGTCGTTAGTGTGTGGAACTCGCTCCCCTCGTTAGTGTGTGGAACTCGCTCCCCGAGTGGAACTCACTCCCCGAGTGGAACTCTGCATTTGCACATTGGGCGGGTGGTGGAGCGAGGCCTATATTACCCTTTATGAAAAATATCTCGACAAGGAAAATTCAATCGGGCCCAGTGCCCAAGGGTGTACGTAAATGGAGTAGCGAGTTCGTTTCAAACAGCGGGGCGTGGTCCCATTAGCAAAGAGGGATCGGATCGAATGCATGAATCTGGACGTGTTTGAAGAGAGATGCAGGAAATCGAAATGGAACTGCTTTTCTGCATCTCTGCATAAGACAAATCCAGATTCAGGAGCTTGATCATATCCGCTTTGCTGGAGGGACCTCGGCCCAGAGCCCCACCCCCACCGGCCTCAAACCGTAACCCTCGGGCTGAGCCCCCGCCCTTTTTTCTTTTCTTTTTTTTCCCCCCTTTATAAAAGGGGCACTGAGGGCTTCATATTATGAACTTGAAACAGCACTGAGGCCCTCAGGGAATCCTCAACAAACAACCCGGGAAGTGGATATAGGCAGGGCAGCGGTCTACGTTTTGGCCATTTCTGTCCCTAGGCATAATTCCCTTCAGCTGAGATACCAAGATACTCTTATAATCTAGCGGCCTATCTCAGTTGGTAAGGCACGCAAGTGGCATTCAGGAGGTCTTGGGTTCAACCCCCATTAGCCTCATGTACCTTCCTGGGCAAGCTTGGCGCCCGCCACCTAGAGATATGCCGTTGGTTCCGAGTGGCATTGAGCAGAGACTGCTGATGTTCATAGGGGGCGGGGACCGGAGGGGAGGCACAGTGATCCCCCGAGTGGCATTGAGCAGAGACTGCTGATGTTCATAGGGGGAGGGGACCGGAGGGGAGGCACAGTGATCCCCCGAGTGGCATTGAGCAGAGACTGCTGATGTTCATAGGGGGAGGGAACCGGAGGGGAGGCACAGTGACCGGCCCATCCAAGAAGCTCGGTCCTGATGCTACCGGCTGACCCCTGGCCGGTATCGCCCACCTGCTGTAGCAGGTATCGCACCTCCTGGTGGGTGCAGCTCCCGCATGTTCCCTTGTTGGAAGCTTGAGCACGGATGTGGGTGCAGTTCAGGAAACTCGACACTATATCTGCACATCTCCGCAAAAGCGTCCAGATTCAGGCGTTGAGGTCGCTCTTCGCATCCAGATTCAGGCGTTGAGGTAGCTCAACGCTGTTAGTGGGACTTTGCCCCCGGGTTGTTTGCTGAGGATTCAAGGCTAATTCTTTTAAGCCCAACCAAGTTCCCCGTAAAACTATATAATGACAATAAAAAAGGGCCTGAAAGGCTGTCCTGTCCAGATTTGACAGGTAATTGAATTGGTTGCCCCCGCCCTTTTAGTAAACAAAGCAAAAAAGTTGGAAAAACAATCAAATCGAGAAGCAACAGTTCCACGTATTCTCCAAATCAAGCAACCTATACCAACCATCATTATATTTCCTTTTTTTCTTTTGTTTTCGTTTGTTTTCTTTTTTGGATAATTTGCGAAATACCCCTATAAGTTGAGATATATGCCAAAATGCACCTAAAAGATGTGTGTGGAGTGGAATACCTCTCTGACACGAAAAATGTGTTTTGAAATGGCCCCGGCGTCGATTGGACCTGGCATCCTTGCGAAATACCCCCATCGGGTACTGTCCATCTTTGCAAAATGTCCCCGTAGTTGCTAACTTTTTCCAGGCCCTATTTATTTTCGTTTTACCCCTACTGCGCCTATGGGACGCACGGCCGGGTCCAACGAAAGGAGTGGCGATTGCAAACGGAATATTTCCTCCAAAAGAAACGCGCGTGTTGAAGAATGCACGGCCATTTTGGATGCAATTTTTTGGAGCAACTTTCTGTCTAGATACACAGATAATGGGCGTGCGCTCTAGTGGGGGGGAAGGCACTGTCGTTTTAGCAGTTGCACACACAGACACACACACACAGAGAGAGAGAGAGAGAGAGGAGTTGGGGGCAAGAGGATGTCGGAGACGGCAAACAAGGAGAGCTTGGAGGAATGGCGAGGGAGGAGTTGGAGATGGGCAAGCTTACCAGGGTGAAGCTGCAGAACACAGCGTGCCACTTCGAACAACTTCGAAAGTTTGAATCACAGAGGCAAACTGCCGTGCCTATGGGCCTGGGTATTGTGCAAAGTTGCCCACCCGGTATGGAGGGCAAACCGCGTAAAACAGGGTCCAGGCCCAGGCGCCAACAACGCGGTCCAGATTGCAAATTTACACACGGGCCTGACAGGGGCAAAACACAGAATTAGGCCCAAAAGGGCATTCCGCTCTACCCACATCTTTTAGGGGCACTTTGGCATATATCTCAACTTATAGGGGTATTTTGCAAATTATCCCTTTCATTTTTCCCTTCTTTTACCAAAGGCAACCTTTCCCATATGATGCAGGCACTCCGCCCATGTTCATACTGAGGTTGCTATTGTATTATACAAGCCGGAAAGCGGGTCCGTCGTCCCTCACATCATAAACAAAAACATATGAAGCCCGGTCCAGGCACAAAAGAAAAGGCTACCATGAGGAGGAAAGAAAAAAAAAGAAAGAAAAAAAGGCTATCATCCAAAGCTGTCACCACACCCTACAAAACGGCCCTGCCACCCGCGCGGCAGGGGTCCATATCTGCAGGCCCCCAGCTGCAGACACAGACCCCACAGAACCAACGCACCTCCTCGCAACTCAGGGCGGATCACACTTCTACCCACACTTTTTTTTTTTTTTTTTTTTTGAAAGGCCCTTGTGCAAGACCTCTATCCTGGTGGTGGTAAGAGAACCACCGGGATGGAGGCTTTGCCTAGCGGGCCGCTCCATCTATTGGTGGGGAGCAACACCTGCTGGAAACCTGGTCCAGCGTCACACTGACCATTACATTTCACAGAATGATTCATCTAATCTATCACCAAACCCTGCAAATCCACCCTGGCCCCCACGGGCCACGGATCTAGCCCCAGAGGCAGGCACAGACCCTGCAAAACCCACCCACCTCCTCGGGATTCAGAACAGACTACGCCTCTAGTCGGCGCGTGACCTTACCAAGGACACCAACGCCCTCCATGACGATGTCGTCGCAGAGCAAACATTACTTTCCCTCTCACCATCTCCCAACTACTGTCATAGCCCAGCAGAGCTACCCTATCACCCATGCGGCAGGGGTTGCCCCCCCCCCTCCCCCCTCCCCCCTCCCCACAAAAAACACCCACCACCTCCTGGCTATTTAGGGTAGACCACTCCACCAATCTGTATCTACTTTCTCTAAGGAAATCCGCCGCCCTCCATGATGAAGCCTCTGCAGAGTGACCCTCCCACATCCATATCATACAAAAATCCTTGTCAATGTCGGTCAATACTAAGTGGAAAAAAAAAAAAAAAAAAAAAAAAAAAAAAAAAAGAGACCACTTTTGGGGGATCTGCCAATGGTAAGTGGATTGAGATTAGCCTATGGTAGACGGTATGTCCTTGGATTAGTTTGAAATGCAGATCTGTGCTCAATTCTGGACAGGACTTGATGAATGGAACCAGAATCTACCGATGGGAAAACAAACCATACTGAACAGCCAGCAAATAGCAAAGGATGGATAAATGAACGCATAAAAAAAAACCGTTGCCACCGAAGAATAAACGTGATACGAAAAGAAAAGAAGAAATGGGCCTTCAAAGCAGTCTCTGCTGATGTTGATGGGGGGAGGGGTAATCGGGGAGGCATAGTGACTGGCCAATCAGATGATGCTTGATCCCTCTGCTACCGGCTGTCCCCTGGCCGGTGTTCCCCATTGGGTGTTCCCTGAAGGCAATCAAAGCCACCCTGGGCTGAAAAGGCCACCCCAATGACCCATGTCCTTTTTTTTTTTTTTTTTTTTTTTTGAAACATTGCTCCAATCTATTGGTGGGGAGCCTCACCTGCTGCCACCCCATGTCAGATTGGACACAAGATTGAATTTACGTGGGCTGGTTAGTCCGACGATAATACCTCAAGGTCATCGCCCTTTCAAAACAAAAAACAAAAAACAAAGCGACAGAACGGCTGCTGAAGTTTTTGACTCTAATGAATCTCACTCACCGAAGCGGTTGTCAAATAATTCACTAAAAACACATGCACAGTAAAGTCGGATTTAACTCCAATCTATACAAAAGGATTCCGGCAATCCAAACTCACACGCAGCCAGATACATCGTGAAAAAGACTCAAGAGAACCATTTACACATTCAATCACTCAAAACGTCTCCCCGCCGCAACAGCTTCACCAGGGGCAGTCCAGAGTCCAGACCTTGGCTTATCTGAAAGGGCATCTACATGTGGGGGCAAAAAAAAAAAAAACACTAGTGCCTTTTTATCATAAATCACAATTTTTGTGGGGTTTGCTGGGCAGTGAATACAGGGGAAAGCGGGGTACTTAAGGCATACTCACACTACCATTTTCCCCCGAACATAAAGCATACGCGTTGTATTCAAGTTTCCCTGAAAACTCGATTTCCGAAAAGGTCTGCAGATGCACTTTGGATAGAACATATATGTGTTCTACTTGAATACACTACACCTGCAAATACCATTGTATTCGAGATAGGGGTAGGGGTCTCCAATGCGCGCCCCTACCGTAGTCACTGTACCCCTTCGCTTCCTTCGCCATAACTGCCACCCGCACCCCTACTGTAGTCACTGGGCCCCTTCGCTTCCTTCGCCATAACTGCCACAAGTTCGCATCACTGCACGGAA